GCCTCCTCTTCTGTATATATATATACACAGTCAGACACAGGTACATGTACTTGCACGCGTGCATACACATACATGCACAAACGTACATACGCATTCCTATACGTGCGCATGCTTGCATGTCTACATCCATGTACAAACATGAACTGACATGCACATAGATGTGCATGCATACAAACGGTCATACATACATATGTGATTTGTGTGTACAGACGCATGTGCATGCGAACCTACACGAGCAACACATACATACATACATACATACATACATACATACATACATACATATGCACATACATATATACAGACAAACATAGAACTGCATGCATGTTTGCACATATGTCCATGTGTATGTATGGGCCTTTCATGAATATACGCATGCATCTGTATATATATATATATGTGTGTATATGTATGTGTCTGTTCATGTTGTGTGTATACATATGTATCTACAAATACATGTTTCTTTATATGCGATCGTATATATGTATATATATATATATGTATATATAGAATACGCCACACAAACCCTTCTTTTTCACATGTGTGCGCATGCTCGTGTAATCGAGGTAGCCTCTCCCTCTCTCACTCTCTCTCTCTCTTTCTCTCCCTCTCTAAAGAAGACTACGAGCCCCACAAGGCCTAAGACGTGTCTTGCACATTCCATCCGTAAGGTCGGGCTGCCTCGGTTGCTGCAAGAAGAAATGAAGCCTGCCCATGCTGTGCTCTTCCTACTCGGCTTTACACGTCGGGCTTCAGGATTTTAGCAAAGGCTTCAGGGTTGGTGTTTGCAAAGTTTAGCTCTGCTGCTCTTGGGTTTTTGGGTGACGGCCTCAGGATCGTTTAGGGCCCCACGCGTAGGGATTGCGTGTTGATGTTGGTTCATGATACTGTTGAACATGATAGAAGCTCGGGCAGGTTCCTATGCAAAGCCCTTAAGGAAGAGTAAGTTGGGCCCTCTGGGAGCGAGATTCAGCCGCTGCTTGAGCGGTTTGCCAAGCTGTAAGCTTTGAGCTCTTGGCCTTTCCTGGAGCATCGGAGCGTCGGGTTCTAGTGACTTCTGGCACAGCGTTGTACGGTTTAGGGTTTAAGCACCAGGAAGGTGGCATGCCCAAGAGATGTAAGGCATGCTACATGTCAGTGAAGATCGGAATTTCAAGCTAAGCTTGGTTGTTGCACGGCTCCATGCTCAGCATCTAATCTAACAACAACGGCAGTCGGTACGGTCCGGCTGCTCCTTCTGCCATGCATCGACCAGATGTAGACTTAGACTGCTAAACCCCGAACCCCTACGCCGCAGGTCCCAGTCCCTACAGGTAGGCCAGACGTTACAAACTCTCAGCCGAAATCACTAAATCCCTGAGACCACACCGTAAACCCCAAATCGCCCACAATCCGAGATACCTGAACCCTGACCCCACCCACCCATCTAAGAACCCACAGAAGAGGATCAAGGCTTCAGGGTTTCGGTAATCGAGCTCCGGAGGTTTAGAATGATGGGTTTAGGAATTTAGGGCTTTAAGGGCTTAGGGGATTTGGGCTTTTAGGGTTTCAGTAAGGGCAGCAGACGAGTCCCTTGTGACAAAAAGGGTTTCAGTTGAAGTCTCACGTAGGATCGCAGCGGTTCCGATCGTGTTGACTGCCTGCCTCACGCGATGCGAACGCATCGCCGGTGAATCTCACACACTCTGCGCATTGGATGGTGCCCAGACTGATGTTACGATGATATGCCCGCGGGGTTAGATTAAAGTTTTCAATTTTCGAATTTGCATTTTGTGCTGCCGTCGTCGTGTGTGTTCACGGAGTACCGGAAGACTTACCAACCACACCTAGATTGTTGGCTTGTCTTTCTGCGTTTGCCGAGAAAGGGGGCGATGTGAGATTTACTTAGTGTCAGGGTTTAAGGCTCAGGGTCTTGGTCTAGGTAGAGATTTGGGTTTGAGCTCCCTGCGTCCCAATTTTAAAATCTCTACCGCGGACCATAAAAGACCAGAGTATAGTTAGCACAAACCCGAGACCCAAGAAACCTTGCAAAGAGTAATTAGCCCACCCAGTTTGGTAGCTTCGGATTGCTTAGGGTGGGATCCGACATGGATTTGGCTCAGCTGGGGCATCGGCCAGCAGAGACTTGGTTGTGAAAGCTCTTGCTACAGAGGTCCCTTAAACCCTACACCCTAACAACCCTAAACCCGATACACCCTAGCCTGTAAATGCCGGGGCACCATCTGGCTGTACCAAGTTCGATGATGGCCTCTAAACCTCTGCGCTTGACGGCATTGGGGAGCTGGAAAAATTGTTGAAGGTTCCTCTGAGCCCTGAGTTTCCTGTGACGGTGGAAGGTCGGTTTTGATAGTAAGCTCCTATCATATACGGTTGTGATCGTCGGGAGGTTGGTGAGTTGAGGTTTAGACTTCTAGAGGGTAATTGAGGCGATGTACTTCGGGAGAGCTATGAAGCAAGCGTGTTTTCTAAGGGGCCGTCGTCTTCATGGGCTGCAGGATTCAGGGCTCAGGCAACAGGAAGAAGGCGGGGCATGAGAGCAAAAAGCAGATTCCGGCTGAGGAAGCCTTGAGGCTAATATCCATGCCGCACTGAGCTGTTGTAGCCTTAAGCCCAGCACCCTATTATAAAGCCACGAAGAAGGCCCACGCATGCCTTGCTTTTCGGGTTGCAGCTTGGGGGGGTACGCTCCATACCACTCCGAAGCCCAACGGCCCAAGAGCCGCAGAGAGTCGTTCCCTGTCTCGCAGAGAAGAGTTTGGGCTTTCAGCTGTGGGTCCCGTGCCTCCTGCGGGCCTGTTTGGGGGCCCTTGATGCTGGATGCATCTTGTTGCCTCGCCTCCCTCTGTCCGAGCGGAATTGGCAAAGCAGAAAGCTCGCAGACAGATTCCGAGATAGAGAAGGAAGGAAGGCTCGACGATGAGGAGCCAGAGGGTGTTTGGGGTCTAGTTTTAAGGGGGTTGGGCGTGTAGCGCCTAGCATTGGGCCTGCAGGCTCTCAGAGGTTTGTTAATGTGTGGCGATAAGGATTCGGGTTTCAGCGCGAAAGACCTTGCGATTTCGATCCCCTGTTCGGGCTTTATAGAGATAGTGAAAAGGAGATGCATTTTGAAAAGGGTGCGGTTATGCCCCCAAACCAAGCCTAAGAGCCCTTTCAAGGCCCTAAGCCTGCGACCCCGGTCTTGGCTCCCCGAGGATGAAACGAACAGAAGCTTCACACCGAAACCGGAGCTCATAGCTGAGATTAAGACAGTTTCCAACTAAATTCTGTAGAGTCTCAAGTCAAGCTTGAGCCTCGAAGCCTCTATCATTATCAACGCCTGCGATCCTAACCCTAAACCCTAAACCCTAAACCCTAAACCCTAAACCCTAAACCCTAAACCCTAAACCGAAGCCTCAAGGGCCTTAAACCCCTCAGTCCTGAGAGCCTCCCAAGACATCACAACCCCCTGGAGTGTAAGAGCCCTGAGCCCAAAAACCAAAGTCTCAACATCCACACCCTGCTATGTTGAGACCCAGCGAATCCCCTGTCAACTTCCGGAAGCCTACACACTAAAACTTCTAAGTCTTTGAACCCAAACTCGCAAGCTAAACCCTGACACCCTTCCGCTCTACCCCCCGCCCCTTATTTACAGTATCACCTCAAGAAGCAACCCTTGCTGAAGCCCCTCAAAGCAAGAACCGTGAACCTCTGCTCCGAAACCCTGAACTCCCAAGCATAAAACCTATAGTCTCCATTGTAGTTCCTTTTTGGGGATACCTTATAAACTCGTTACTATATATATATATATATATACATATACATATATATATATATATATTTGGTTAAACCAAAAAAAGGAACTACAATGGAGACTATAGGAAGCATCCAAAGCCCTGAAGGACAAGATTTCGGCCCGGCAAGTCCGAGGGCCAGGCCCCTGTCAAAGATGCTGCGGCGGCTGCTGCGGAGTGATGCCGCCAGGTTGATTCAGGGTTTAGGGTTTAGGGTTTAGGGTTTAGGGTTTAGGGCTAGGCTTGCGGGTTTGAGCGGCCTGGGGCAACTGAGGCCTGCATGAATCCGATGGAGGTTGCTTGAAGTTGCAGAGCTCCTGCAAGATAGGGGGGCTCTACAATAAGGATCCTGTGATGTCGGGCTCTGCATATAGGTCCCTAATCTCCTGAGCATCCGGAAATGGTGTGCTTAGGGTTTTTAACCTTCCGTGGAACCAGAAGCAGCCTTTTGGTAGGATCCTGAGATCTTTGGCACTCTTCAGACGATGACTTAGAGCTTGGTTCGATGTGTGTGTGCTGTGGTGAATCTACCCAAGCACAACAGCCCCCATCTGCCAACCTATATATATATATATGTGTCTACCTATCTGTTTATCTGTCTATGTATCTATCTATCCATCTCGCTCGCTGGCTAGCTCCCTCTCTCTCTCTCTCTTACATATATATCTATATGAGAGACAGATAGAGAGAGATATATATATATATATATGTATATATACACATACATACATACATACATACATACATACATACATACATACATACATACATACATACACACACAGGTACATCTACACATTATGTGTATATATATATATGTATATCTATCTATATATATATATATCCAGTTTACAGGCCGTTGACTTGAAAAACGTGGGTCCCTTCAAAAGTCTTACGCTACAAGGGAGTGAGCCATGCAGACGCCAAGGCCCTCTCGCAGATCTGCTGACGAGCAAAGGAAAAGTTGATTTGAGATCCGGCGTGCCAACTCTGTAGTCAGTGACGCAAGAGGAATGTCTCGACCTTCAACTGAGAGTATGGCTCACAAATCGGATGCTTCCGCTACCTCGAGAACGTTTCAGGGTTGATCCGACACGGAAGCCTAATATAGAAGCCTAAGAAATTACTAATAGTATTTCGGGTTTCTTATTATAATCATAGTATAATATACCCCCGAACCCTATTCTAATCATTACAGCCCCTACATGAAACGGCAGGACCCCCAACCTGGGACAGTTCTTAAGCAGCCCTCATTTATTCATTGCCGAGGCTGATCGTGGCTTTGGTGGAAGTTGTCTTTGCTTGCGTAGACGCTTGGCCGCCGTTCTTTCTTGTTGAATCAATGTCGGCGAAACTCAGACCTCTAAACTCCTGTGCCCTAGGCCCCGAAAGCCATAAACCCCAAGCCCTCAACAGTATGTATTCTGCACCGTATGTCACGACAAGCTGAAACGGACACCTTCACATCCCAAACCTAGGCCATGAGGGTCTCGTGGTCGTGAGATAGGTAGACGGACTTTTAGGGCGTGTGGGTTTAGTAAGCTTTACTTCGAAGCCTTGAGGGCCTCTGAAGGCTTTTCAGTGCAGAACAAAAAGGGCAATGGTCGCAGAGCGACTTCTCACCTGCAACTCCTGAAGCCTAAACGACTTTCCTGGGGACTGCCGTCTAACGTTGCTACCCATGGATTGTAGGCCCTTCTTCCCAAGAAGCATCGGAGGTTTTCTACATTGGCGTCTGGTTTGGATGAAGTCTGTCTGCCTGTCTGTCTGTCTGTTTGTCTGTCTATCTGTCTGTCTGCATGTATGTATGTGTGTATATGTATATGTATATGTACATGTACATGTATATGTATATGTATATGTGTATGTGTATGTGTATGTGTATGTGTATGTGTATGTGTATATGTATGTATGTATGTAAATGTAAATGTAAAG